CTTTTTTCTTTTTTTGAGACAGGATCTCACTGTGTTGCCCAGGCTAGAGAGCAATGGCATCCTCATAGCTCACTGTAACCTCAAACTCCTGGGCACAAAGGATCTGCCTGCCTCAGCCTCCCAAGAAGCTAGGACTATAGGTGCACACCACCATGCCTGGCTAATGTTTCTATTTTTTTGTAGAGATCAGGTCTTGCTATGTTGCTCAGGCTGGTCTTGAACTCTTGGGCTCAAGAGATCCTCCTACCTCGACCTCCCAAAGTGCTAGAATTGCAGGTGTGAGCCACCATGCCCAGCCCAATGTATCTTTTATCATTTATTTTATAATACAGTCTTTGGAGTTCTGTGATTTATAGTACTATGATAATTCCCTCATTGATTGATTATCCAAAGTTAAATCCAATCTTAGCCTTTAGCATAAGAAGCAATGGCCAAGGCCTGAGGGGATGTATCCTGTACCTTATGTATAATTTTTTCTTTAGTAACTACATATCATTTACATCAGATTTTTCTCAAGTATTAGTAAGATTCACCTGGATCAAATTCTCCAATGAAAGAGTTTGTATTTGTATTTCTAGCAAGTGCCTCCAAATGAGATTCATAATTAACCAAGTTTGGGAATCACTGATCTACCTCAATCCTCATGCCAGTTTTTCTTTGTTACACAGAAGGTGGAGCTAATGGTGATTTTTACCTGCTTCCTATCTTTGCTGACATTGCCTTATCCCAAGCTGCTAAAACAAACCTCTCAATGTCATTAAATGAATTGCCTTAGTTCATCAAAAAGGAAACATTGCTTAATGAACTGAATCTCGGCTGAGAAGTTATCGACAGGGACTTAGAACACTATTTTGTTTTGTGGCTTACTCAGCAACAAGTGATGTAAGGATAAAACTTTTTCACAAAGACGCAAAGTGTTTCAAAGGTTAACAGTATGCACATGTCACCAATTTGTCGCGGTTTCCCTATTGATATTTCACAATATGGAAGGAAGGTAAATTATCTGTGATGATTATGCTCCTTTCTGTCTTCACGGTTTTTCTCCAAGTGTCGTCATCACTGACATATGAAGCGTGATATATTCATTCTACATATCTATGCATGGAATTTAAATTATTTCTTTTTCTATGGTCAGTAGCAAATTGCCTTCGGCCAGTCCCGCTATGGTCACCAGTGCCATTTCAAAAACGACAAAGATCAAGGGAGCCATATCTAGCTAAAGAGTTAACTGGTTCTAAGAGGAACGCACTCTGTGACTCTAGGGCCCCTACCATTAGGGACCATCTCCAGTTACACACTCCATCTTAATGACAAAGAGCTTTGTTTGTAGACCATTATTTTTGTTACTTAATCTGCCCACTGGGTAAACTAAGTACCTTGTTCATCTATATCAAAAGTGCAACTTCAACGCAGTAGCTTAATGCTACTTCATTTTCGTTTTTCTCTAAGAGAATGGTGAAACAATGTGCTGTTTAGATGCATTACCAGTTATTATTAAGTGAAAGACTACTGATCTTCAACGTTATCAGAGCCAAGTGGATTTAGGCCAGCGTTTTCATATCTAGGTATTTGCTCTTTGACTCATAGTAGTTTGGGGCTTTGTTCCAACACTTGTCAAGTAAAGAGTAATTTAAACAATTCTTAATCTCTTTCAGTCACCCAAAATGTATACCAATGCTTTGAAGTTAGACGTAAACAGAGCCCCCAGCTGTTTGAATCCATGAAAGCGTGCTGTTAACTCTATTTTACAGGTTACAAACTATCCTCCAACTCCTTTGTATACATTTTACCTTAACTTGCTGCTTTAAATAAGGGTGCAGTTGCTATGAATCTTCACATCACATACTGATGCAATGTGTAGACAATTCAAATACAGATGGATAGAATGGATGGCATAAAGAGAAATATTCTTACAACCGCAATAATCAAGAAGTGTATCTCCCTGTCCTAAATTACCTTATGAAGAAATTTCACTTCTAGATAGATCCTAAAATGTGTTTCCACTGATACAGGTTCAGGCTGGGTGCAGTGGCTCACGCCTGTAATCCTAGCACTCTGGGAGGCTGAGACCGGAGTATTGCTTGAGCTCAAGGATTTGAGACCAGCCTGAGCAAGAGCAAGACCCCGTCTCTACTAAAAATAGAAAGAAATTAGCCAAAACAACTAAAAATAGAAAAAATTAGCCAGGCATGGTGGCGCATGCCTGTAGTCCCAGCTACTCGGGAGGCTGAGGCAGAAGGATTGCTTGAGCCCAGGAGTTTGAGGTTGCTGTGAGCTAGGATGACGCCACGGCACTCACTCTAGCCCGGGCAACAATAGCGAGACTCTGTCTCAAAAAAAAAAAAAAAGAAGTAATGTCTTATGCTGAGGAGAACCTAACACAGTCTGGAGAGTGACATG